CTAAAACGGAAACTATTCTGGAAAACCGTACCAGTTTAAAGGTCTGAAATCTTTGCTTTGGTCAATGTTTGGTTAATAAATCATTATTTTACTCCATGAGAAGTTTTACATCAGAACTCTCAACAAATAAGCAAAAAACAAAACCTTTAACATTATTTTTTAAATGGGATTAAGAGTAGTACAGAATAAAAATGTGTTGTTTTTACAATGGGTAACATTTCCTCTAAGAAAACTGTTTAATCATATGAAATACTCGTTAAGACCAGATTTTTAAATCAGATGACAATTTAAACAAAAGCTTTAATTTGTGGTTTATTTCATAATCCCAAACTGAATATCTCCTCTCTAAATAGTCCACTGTGAAATTTTTCTTAAAAGCAATTAACCCAAAACACCAAAAACTTTCTCTAGCAGTTGCTGCTGAAAGAAACCTGGAACATTGTATCACATGTCGAGAAAGATGTGCAAATGAAACGCTTCCTGCTTCGTCCTGAAAATAAAAAGAAGTGTTGCACATTTACTCAAAATGCAGAAAAGCACAAGTTCACATACCATTTAAAATCACAAATTCATTTTTCTTTCTGATATAGTACAAGGCATATGGCTTATTCGGGTTGAGGAAAATTAGGTATGAAGACAGACTTTCAGAATTGACCACAATATATTTGACATAGATTTTAGCTAATATAAATGTTTTAACATCACAGGACTGTGGGACTTTTATATCCAAAAATAGCCTGTAACACCTAATAATTCATGTAGAATACTGCATGTGTTTAAGAAACTGTTACAGTTTAGTGACTAACGAGAATAAACTGTCACATGCAGAAAACAGGGCTACAAAATAACTGCTCACTGTGGGATAAAGCAGGGTCACTGGGCCTGGACTTACTAGTGAGGAACTGAATCATCTGCACACCTCGAAAAAATGAGGCAAAAGCATTAGAATGGAAATACTTCCATTTTAGGGAAAGGAAACAGTGGCACCTTTTCACTGGATGATCCCAGTTTCAAGTCTTAGATGTCTCAGAACTTAGGAAATTATGTTCAAATTTTATTGAGAAGAAAAGAGGCATATTTTCAGTGCACTACAACTCACAGCTACTAAAGGCAGCTATTAAAATTCTTAGGCACATGCATGTTCAACATTAGGAATTCTGAATGAATATCATATATGGGCTGATGCTCAAAGGTACTACACAATCTTTTTTTTTTTTTT